CGTCGTCTATTGTACGTAAAGATGACGCTTTTTATAAAAAACCGTCGTCGATTGTATGTAAAGATGACGCTTTTTATAAAAACCGTCGTCTATTGTATGTAAAGATGACGCTTTTTATAAAAACCGTCGTCTATTGTATGTAAAGATGACGCTTTTTATAAAAACCGTCGTCTATTGTATGTAAAGATGACGCTTTTTATAAAAACCGTCGTCTATTGTATGTAAAGATGACGCTTTTTATAAAAAAAGGTCGTCTATTGTATGTAAAGATGACGTCTTTATAAACAATCCACGACGGTTTTCATAAAAAAATCGTCATCTTTACATACAATACACGACGGTTTTATTAAAAACAGTCGTCTTTCCTCCTATAATTAACGATCTTTACCTCTAAACAACGACGATTTTCTTTAAAAACCGTCATCTTTACTGATAAACAACGACGGTGAAAAGCCGTCGTAGTTTGAAACCCAAATAGACGGCAGTCGATTTCACGACCGGGCGAAAACCTTTTACACGACGGTGGTTTCCCGTCGTCTATTTCGATTTTTGTAGTAGTGTTTCCATTCAAATAGGAAAATCAATATTAGTTAATATTAAATTTTCCAACAATAAATACAAGCTCCTTCTTTTACTTCTTTTTATCTACAAATACAGGTACCTTAGGAATCTCAACATTGTTCTGAAACCAATGGTTATCCTCAAGAGCTACATCATTCTCCTCATCATATATCTCTTTGTCAGGTTCATCATCATCGTCTTCATAAATAGGAACATTATGAAGTGAAGCCTTACCATTACCCTCAGTAGCTTCCCCATCACCCTCAACAGCTTCCCCATTACCATCATCAGTCTCATCATCATTAACAACAATATACTCATTATGATCATTGGCCTTTTGAGGGTTTGCAAAATGTGTATGATGAGGAGTATTACCTTGTGTCTTAACAACATTCTCATCAACTTGATTAAACCACTCATTTGGGATATCAATGAAAAATTCTTCATATTGTGTACCAAGTGATTAGGTGTAAACCTCCTCAATAACATCAGACACGTCAACATCATGATCTACATACACCACTATATGCTTATTGCCAGGGATGAAAGATAACATAGCTAATATTTCAGAATCAGAATTCAACCCTAATAGCCTTTCATGTGCTCCATTTCCAGAAAATGTATAATAAAACCTCATGTAGTTTTTAATCCCACATTCATTCATAAGATCATCTCCAACCATGGGGGTGGAAACCCAAATTTTCAGTTTTGAGTCCAAAATTCTTCTCTAACCCATGTATTTTGGGGGGTGGAAATTTGAGAAATGTCAAAATTGGGTGGAATTCCAGTCCAAGTTTTGCCTAGACTGGTATTTTATGTGGAACCCAAACTTTGCTTGGAAGCCCATGTGAAGAAGAAAAGTTGTTGGGCCCCGCGTGACAGCTTTGCTGTCTGGCCAACAAATTTGATGGACACAACTGGTAGCTCCATTCCAACGGCTAAATTCAAAACCGTGTTTTATTTATTTATTTATTCCAACGGCTATATTTTACATCAACGATCAGGATTAATTTTAGGCAATTCGAACGGTAAAATTTAACATCCAAAGGCTCAAATTTAAATCCAACGGTCAAAATAATATTTATAATTTATTTAAATCAGATCCAACCCTAAAACTTATTCCAAATTCTATAAATACCCATTCATTTGGTAAATAATCCACAAAAAATCATTTTTTTTCCTTTCTCCCTTTGTTATATTTTATCATTCTACTTTCATTCATGTTGAGAATGGCCCCAAAACCCCAAAGATGTGTGAATTGGAAACCATAAGAAGATGAGGCATTGCGCAAAGGGTGGGTTTCTATCTCTGAAGATGAGGCTATTGGCACCAATCAATCAAACAACTCATTTTGGTTGTGTGTGTACCAAAAATTTTTGAAAAATGATTCGGGCATGAGCGAAGCAAGGGTACGATCATCACAAGCTATTGCTTCTCGGTTCAAGATCATCAACCAACAATGTTCTCTATAGAAGGCATGTGACAAAGGCCAATGTGGAAAGTTCTTGTCTGAATTGATTCAACAAGGAAATGAGGCAAGGGAGGATAGGAGGCAACAGTTAGAGCTTGTACAAGAGCAACATGTCTATCAAATCCAACAAGATAATGACGCCAATGAATAAAGGATAATGTCCATGGACCTATCCAAATTTACTCCAAGAAAGAAGAAGTATTGAGGGAATAAGCAAGATGAAATTATTAAGGCCCGGATGAATACAAGTTCCCCCTACAATCCAGAATACAACTCGGGAGACTATTATCCAAGCCTT